GTGGTCCATACGCCTCCTCTTGGTTGGTTTGGAATCAGGGTTTTTAGCGAACTCCCCTCGGTGAACTACCATTGCTCCACCAACCCGGTTATAGCCCCGTATGTCGGCTTTTCGTCCTCTCGCTTTGGTGGGAAACGCCTTCGCTACGAGAAGGCTTCCTCAGCAGAGGCTATTTGAGACGCTTGGTCGTATGGGAGCATTTCGCGAGGTGCAAGGGCGGGGTGACCAGCGGCAACCCTAGACACCCACCCAAAATCACACTGGGGCTTTCGGAGGTGTCTGATTAGAAATATGCTGTCAAGTGAAATATACTGTATAAAATGCGTCACTCACTCGACAGGGACGGAAACATTGTCAGTGTCTGGTTGCCGAGTTGTCATTTTTGAAGGAAACTCCTCCAGTGCTCATTTTAACGCTCTTTTGATGACGTGACAGATTTGTCAGAGATCATCATGTAACAAAATTTGCTGGTGCATGCTTGTTTGATAGTAAAGTCTTGGTCATGACTCCCCTTTTTGTCCGCGAACACCATATATATATATATATATATATATATATATATATATCGGCAACGTAAGATTGCAAGACAAAAGTATGGTTTCGGTAGCCATATCGCTTACTGAGCTCGATTGTCCTTGACCTCAGCCCACTTTATTTCGACCGGTTGGATTTCCAAAGATTCTCCTCAGTGTCCATATAACCACGCCAAAGACGATCGATGGAGGATAGACTGAATGGGGGAAATTCGAGCATATTATTTCATTTCGAGTAACTGAAGGCTTGTTCTCTACCAATAGGAGTATTTTCTTTGAAAATTTGCGTTTCGTATATCCGCTGTTTGATGCGCTGTTCGGTTTCAGGGTGGTTCTACAGTCTTTATTTTAATTTCAAGATGTTGACGGATCAGTTTCAAATCGTCTTTCATCCATGCCCACCCGGAAATTTTTTTGCGGTCTTTATGGCCCAACGATTTCGTTTCGAAGTTAAATTCATTTGCTCACGGAAATCGATTTGCTCGCTTTACTGTTACTGTTACCACGGAAGTTGAATATATATCATTCAAACAGGGGCTAGGAAAATGGTT